AAGACTTACCTCAGTGGCTGATTGGTCAAAACATGGATTATGTGAGCTTAAAAGTATGGCTTGAGTTTTTTTATCCAGGTGACAATGGCATAAGCCAATTTTTCTATGCTATTGTAGTTAACTTTAGGCCCTATTAATAGTTTGCTTACGAAATAGATTGGTTGTTGTTTCCTCTCTTTTTCTAGGAGTAAGATTGAGCTGATAGCCTGATCTATGCTGGCTAAGTACATGTACAGTGTTTTAACAATATTTGATTTTAACATGACAGATGAGAAAGATAAGAACTTTTTAAGTTCGAAAGTTTTTTTGGCATTGATGAGTCTATCTGAAGTCACAAACATTTTTGAGATTTTTGATGAATGATAGATATTATTCTACCAATTTAGACATAAATCAACTAAGTACGGCTATTCTGCCTGTTAACCCTACACCTCTTTTATCGAGGTCGACCCCTTTATTTCTAAGATTGCTTGAACCTTCTCAAGATTTACCCCTATCCCTCTTTAGTTGATCACATAGGTAAGGAACTTGCTCGATGTAACCTCAAAAGTATATTTGCTCTAATTAAGTTTCATACTGTAATTCTTCACAATGTTAAAGGTTTTTTTGAGGTCTTCCAAATGCTTGGTCAAACTCTTGTTCTTGACTATCATGTAGTCCATATATACCTCCATGTTATAGTTGATATGGTCTTTGAACACTTTATTCACCAACTTTTGATATATCACCCCTGCATTCTTTAATCCGAAGGGTATAACCTTATAATGGTAAAGGCTTTTCTTGGTAATAAAACATGTTTTATCCTCATTTTCTTTCAATATTTTGATTTGATTGTAGCCTGAATAAGTATCCATGAAGTTGAAAAGACCGTGCTAAGTACTATCATCTACCAATCAATTTATGCTAGGGAAGACGAAGTTGTCCTTTGGACAAGCTTTATTCAAATCTGTAAAGTCCATGTACATTCTTCATTTTTTGCTATGCTTTTTTATCGTGACTACATTAGCTATCCATTCAGGGTAGTAGACCTCTCTAATAAAATTAGCTCGTAATAATTTGTCAATCTCTTCCTTTTTGGCCTATTATCTTTCAAGGGTAAATTTTTTTTTCTTTTGCTAAACTAGTTTGGCCTCAGAATTAGTATATAGTCTATGAACCATTACCTTGGTATCAATTTTGGACATATCAAATGGTGTTCAGGCAAATAGATCAGCATTATCTTTTATAAGCTAAATCAATTGGTTTTATGTTAGAGCTTGGCTCTGATTTGTATGTATTTTTTTAGGAATGTTATTTTAGAACAAAATTGTCATGATGTTCTCGACCGACAGGTTGGTTTGCATTTGAGTTCAGTCTTTGATCGATTATCTCTTCTTCTCTAGAGGCTAAGGAGGCTTTCGTCTCTTTGTAGCTTAGCTGCCCAACAACAACTTCTTAATCCGATGTGATTAAGTTTAGCACTTTGGAGACTTATGGTTGGGTTATGATTTATAGCATCTATTTGAGGGCTTATATTTGTTCAGTTAGGGCTTGAAATTGCTCTATGCTTGGACCTATCTATGGTTGAATTGAACGAATAGAATGCTGGCTTAGGTGAGTTTTTATTCTAACCAGAACAGTTGCCTCACCTTCCTCTTGGGTTTTTTTTTTCTTGGTGGCATTGTTTTGTGCTTGGCTAATGTGAAATGTTCCCCTACCTGGCATGCCAAATATTTGTGTCAAACTCCAATATGAAGGTATTCCTGTGAAAATATAAGGAAATGACTGTTAGAGGCAAAGACAAGGTGTGTTCCCTGCTTTTGTACTCCAATGCGCTAGTCAATAAGGATCAAGTCGAAAAGAAAGTGAGAAAATATGAAGGAAAGAGAGATATGGATTAGATGAACCTGCTTTTATGATAACTAAGTCTTCATATCTATAGGTAAGTTAAGAAAAACAAAAAAACAGAGACAATTAGAATAAAGCCAAACTGAGGTAGAACTAACTATGTCAGGCTGACCTGATATATCAAATCAACACAAATGACCAAGATTCCCCTGATTATCAACTGAAAACTTCGAGAGAGGAAAAGATTACTATGCCCTTTTGACCATTAGATACCCTTAACAAATTTCAACTATCCAAAAAATGAAGATGTTTTGCTTGAAATTCCTATGACTAATTTAATATAGAGGCCTGATGCTTTTTTTATTATTACTGTTACATTGGTGGTTTGGAAAAAATAAGATGACATGGTATGAAGTACCTTATTTAAGGAAACAAGAAAAAAAATACTCTCATAAGGGAATAAAAATTTTAAACTATCCTAGTACAAGAAAAAACTCGACAAAACATTGACTAGGAAAATTTTAAGAATATAGTTTTAATACAATAATGATCTCATAATTACAACTCATTATAGTTTCCTAGCAAAACTTTATTTATTTCATGTACTTTTATCATTTAAGTATTAATAAGAATATAATTAAAAGCTTATATATAAAGTAAGACTTTTTATTCAACAATATAACAATGCATTTTGGACAAATCCGAGTGGCTTTTAAGACATAACACTTAATACCGGAAAGAAACATTCATTTATCTCATTAGATAACATCCATAAAAGCTACTAATATATAAAAAAAATTCATAAAATCCATGAAATCCAGCAATTCATTCGAATACATCAACAAATTTCATCAAAATGTTATTATAAATCGTCAAATTCATGCAAATAAAATAAACAAACGTCCACCAAATCCATATCCAATTACATAAAAAGAAAGATACAATCTCATTCAATACTGCCTCCAAATCCTTGCCCAACAGTCTCCTGGTCAAAAAGTTTTAGCTACGAAACTTGATGCATGAAACCTACCAACATCCAACGTTTTGCTGATCCTAAATAAAACCACCTTTATTTCCTCGTGATTGCTTTATTTTCTCTTGTGATTGCATTATGCTCTTGATTTCGTTTTGCACATCTAATACCTTTCTTTTTAGATCTTCAACTTCGATAGATGAATTTTAATCGGGATTAGGACCGTAATAAAATCACAAGCAGAATAGGGCGAGCTAGCAACAGAGGATGATAGCTTAAATTGTATGCTTAATTCCCAACACTAAGTGTTGTTTTCAAAAGGAAGTGCAAATCCTAATTGGATTAGGACTAGGGAAGACTCCTCTATGAGTTGCAACTTGTAGATGGATGATGCACAAGAGTGAAAACTCTAGTTAGCACTAGATTAAGCTAAACAATGTTTTCCCTCTTTTTGAAAATCTTCACATCCATTGCTTATGCGGTCATTAGACGCTATCCTACAATTCTAGTTAGTTCTTAATCTAGAGGTATTGATCTCTTGCTTATAGGTAGTGCTAAATTTTATTGAACAAAATCAATTTATGATCCTGTTTCGGTAATTAAATTGTTTATGTTTTCGTTGCCTGTTACTCTTGAATCTAAAACAGTTTATGTTACAATTGTTGTTTGTGTGGATAACATTAATGGTTATGGTCAACACATAAAATCAGACTATGGGAATAATTACCTGTTTTATGAATGGTTAAGAAAGAATTGTTAACTTTAAAGTAGACCTGAATAAGTTTAGACAGGACATTAAAATGATAAAAAAAAAAAACGAAAGCTACATAATTTAAAATTAACAAAAAATCGTAAGAGTTTGGTAAAGTAAAATAAAATAAATGTATTTTATGTTTAATATGTTCACACGAATTATAACACGATAATTTTTATATTTTATATGTATTTAACATAATAAATATATAATTAATCAAATATACTTTCAAGCACATAACAGTAATAACAGTGTAGTATAGTAGTTAGTAATGGACAATGACACTGAATTGTATGAGAGAGTAGTACTCAAGTTAATCTGGTCAAGGAGGGAAAGTTATGCACCCTTAACGTGTAAAGATGGATGTAAGTTTTTAAGTTAATGGATTTTCCCAGATTATTTGAGCTAGATTATAGATAAGCACAATTCTAAGAGTATGCCAGAATAAAAAGAGAGGAGAGATGCTTTGCAGTTTAGAAATTGTTGTTCTAATAATTTTGAATGCTAAAGTTGCATCACTACAAAGGAGCTTGGTACTGTCAGCACGGAATCCTACAGAAGCAGAGCTCCAAGATATGATTAACGGCCAGTTTCGGACAAGGATCGGAATGGTTTCATCTCGAGTGCAGAACTATTACACGTGATGGCAAACCTGGTGAAAAAGGAATCCGACACTTAATTAAAAGAATTTAAATTTTAATTCAATTAATTTTTTAAAATTTTTAATTTACCCTTAAACTTCATTACCTACCTAATTAAAAAATATATATTACATGCATAAATTTTTTAAATTCATAATTTTTAAATTCAATTATAATGATATACCAATTGATCAAGAGATAAACAACAAATCAATTAATTCATTCAAATAATATTAGGTAAATTTAAATTTTAAATCTCGTACTATAACTTTTTTTTTATTCCGAAATTATGACCTTATAAAAACCCTTGGACGAAAAGCTAACGGATGAAGACGTCGATGAGATGACATGGGAGGCTGATGTTGTTGGGTACGGGCAGATAAATTATGAGTTGGTCAAGAGTTAATTTTGCATATTAGATAGCTGAATATTAGCTCCTAAAATAGTTTTTGGTCCAAATTCTCAACAAAAAACGAGTCAACCTATAAGACAGAACTTTTTGCTAGAACCTGCACCAATAACAGAAAATGAATGTTGGATAGAATGAATTTCCGGTTTGAGGATCAATTTGGCTCCTTAAAAGAAAAAAGGCAAATAACTGTCAGTATTATGGAACTTCAGTCTCAATGATGCAGAAATTACCATCTCCACAGAGTGGTGCCCATTCCGCGATTTCGGCTCCGTTCGTTTCGTCCAGCCAGAAAAACAACAGTTTAGAGAGCAATGATGCAACTTGGCAGGAGGCAATTCCTGAAATTTGTATCAGCCACCCTCCCCCCCCCCCCCCCCGGCCCCAACTCCCCTTCCAAACCCCACAATATGATCATATGAGATGGAAAACAACGTGAACATGCAAATTTGATCCATCACCTTCCCAAATTGAAGCATCCATTACACCAAAAAGCAACCGATTTCCCAACCGGAACTACAAAGTCAGTTACATACTCCAAAACCACATTTAATTATTTTATCCTGTGATTTTATAATCTCTTCAGACTTTTCTTTCTAGGATCCATTTTCTTCTTGTCTGCTAGAATTTTTGTCGATCCTTCCTTCTTAACTCCAGTGCCTGGTATTCCTACAAGGGCAGTTCCACTCACTCCTGTTTCAATTATTGGAACTATAGACTGCTGCTCCTGGTTGTTGCCTCCTTTTGTCGCTGTGGTGGGGATGGCCAGTGGGGATGGCAATGGTAATGCAGCACCATTTACTGTAGCTTTCTTGTCAACATTTAGAACTGAGGTGTTAGACTGGTCGACATTCAATGCCGTAGTTGACTCACAAATAGCTCCTGACTTGAACTTCGGTTTTGGCTTCGCATGAATTCCAGTATAAAGCCTGTGTTATGAACAGAAAACACACTTGTAAGGCCTGCATGGTTGTGCGCAATTCCAATTTCATTTCATTTTGTAGCAGTCATACTATATTTGGACCTTGCTATTTCAATCTCAACAGATCAGTTTACAAAACAATAACTTCTCCATATAGTATCAAATCTGCAAGGCATAATAGACTACAACATTTGAAATCTTGACTGTTCTTCGTAAAAAAGTCAAATGACCAAAATGATATTACTGAAAGCAAAACCATAATGAATTTATAAGAAATTAAGACAGTAATAGGAGCTTGGATTTTGCCAAGAATTGACGAGTTTATCCCCTTCCAGCTGAAGGAACTCGACAAACCATATGACAGTGAAAATGTGCATAATTCCCAACCAAAAACAAAGAACAGTGATTGTCCTGTTACAGACTCTCCCGCATGTAAGGTTCTAGGTTTCCACATATTAAATAAATAATGTGTTAGAAAAGCCTCACCTAGCATGCCTGGCATACTCGTCATAATTTTCAAGCAGCATCTTGCCAGCCTGTTCGTTTAGAGCTGATTCTGGAAATGGTTCAATCAATAAACACCGAACTACCTGCAGTCACAAAGTCAAGTGTTAAGTAAGAAAAAAAAACACGAAACCAAAGATCTAAAGCTGAATTACTAAAATGAGATAGGCAGTCCTGAGGCAGTTTTTGTCAAACAAAATGATAAGAATTGGATACAGAAAGAAGTCCTGGCCCAATGGAGCTTACAATGAGTACATGTCGTAATCCAAGACTCGGATTCCAATCCTTCTTCAATGTGTTCACACAAATTTCACCATTGGTTGCAATATTTGGATGAAAAATCTTTGTCAGAAAGTAGCCTGCAGTATAAATGTTCAGACTTCATAATATTCACTAATGCACAAAATAAAATATTTTTTTCCACATATAGTATCAGAATAAAGTTGGGAGATTCAAATACAGGATGAGTGACTTAAAATACAAAATATAACAGAATTGCAAACCATGAAGTTGCAGAATTTATACTTCAGAAGCTTGACATGACCCAGGTTTTCAATTTTTGTAGATCATAGCAGTGTTTAAATCTAGTTATGTCAGGATTAGTATAACCTATTAAACATACCTTTTGGAGGAGATTGAGGAAAATCATGAGACAGTAACAACTTCATACGGAAAACACCATTTTCATATGGAGTCCCAGCTGCAAAGTCAAACAATCCTCATAATGGAAAAGTAACAGTATGCCACAAATGAAGTAAATTTGTTTGGCAGAATTACGTGCCTGGCCCTTCAATGTCTGCATAAATGATTGAAAAATCATCATCATTTACTCCAACTTTAATGCCTTCTGGTGGGGATTCATCAAGACTCTTCAATTCCTTTGCCAGTTGCTTTATTACATTTGGTGGAAGATTTTCATTAGTTGCCTACCACAACAAAATAGAACAATATAAGAAATGCGATTAATAAATGGTCAAATAAAGATCTGATGTGAGAAGTTAATGGAAATGACATACCACATATATAATAATATAAAGAACCTTTTTTCCTTTTCTTTAATAGCAAAAACAGCTTATAGCACTATAATTCTGAAACTATAAACCGTAAACTTTCTTCGCAAATTAGGATAAATTAGGACAAATGACTAACAATTGAACAAGAAATTTGTTAATTTCAAAAACAGTCAAAAGATAAAAATGGTGTTGTGTAAACCACCGAAAATTACCATGATAAGGGAAGAAAAAGAATCCTTCAGAAAAGACTCAGAACCTCAGCAAGACATGTCCCAAAAGCTCACCAACTTTTGCACTTATTTACGGTGAGAAAAGTGAGAATTCAGCACTGTAAAAAAAAGACATAAAAACCAGAAAAAGAACAGCATTAATATTTTCTATTCAAAATGAAACAAAATTAAATTGACAGCCATTTTTCTTTGCAGACAAACAGGCACAACTAGCAGATAGGATAAACAGTCGACCCTATGACTTTTCACTTGATAATTGAAAGTATGAATCTCAAGCATGCATTCAGATATATATATATATGTGGGTTAATGTCATGAATAGGCCTTAAACTATAGTTAAATGTTCAATCCGGTACTTGAACTTTAAAATTTTCTAATGTGATACCAGAACTACAAATCTGTTAACTAATATGGTACTCACCCTTAATGTAGCTAGCTTCAAATGATGACTTGTGACAAACAAACAACCCTTCAAGTACCATATTATTTAATAGATTCATAGTTAATATCCCACATTAGAGATTTTTAAAGTTCAAATACCGCATGGAACATTTCAGTATAGTTTAGGGACCATTCATGACATAAACCCTATATATGCAGATAAATAAGATGCCGATGGTTGACCCAAAGATTCATAAGAGACTAATGACTCATGGAACACATAACAAGCAGTGAAGACTATAAGATCACATATTAATCTCATAAGCAGTGCAGACTAATGACTCAAAACTATGTACAAACAAAAGTTCATCCATAAAATCAAAAGGAACAACAGCCGAAAGAGAAAATTTTTCAATCAAAGCAACGCATTTGCAGAACAAACCTAATCTAGTATGACCATAAAAAAGTCAACAATCAAACTACTGCATTCCACCCCTTATAATCCTAGTGGCCAAATTGAAAGTAGATGTATTAAACCAGGCAAACGAAATTCACAAAAGAAATCAACCAAGAAAAGCATCCCACATTCACATTTCACCAAGAAAGCATAATCTTTGATGCACAAAGGAATGTTGCATCAAACCAAGAAAAGAAGAGGTAAAAGCATCTCCGATCTCATAATATTTTTCTGAAGGCATGAAACAAAGAACCCAGATAATGAGATGGGAACCAAATTACCTTAGGCATTTCGTTCGATGTTGCACACCTCTCTCTCTCTCCAAGGAATGATTGATTTGGTTGACTTTGAGGAGAGCTTTTATTTTTATTTATTCAAAATGATACAGAACCTCTTTTTATTACTTTGGCAACAAAATCTTAATTCGAAATGAGATACAGAAGCAAGAAGATGAGGATCTATAGACCTCAAGCTGAGATGTGCTTCGCTTCACGCGCCTGCCTCAAGATCAAGCCCTAATGTTACAGGCCCAGTGAGGAAATGTGAGCTGGTTAGGTGTGATATAATGGACTGGGCTGTCGGCAGACCATGATATCGCAACAAACCAGCTCACGTGACTCCGCATGTGACTTCACCCCTTCAAATCCGGGTGGAATAAAATCCTATCATGGCTTAGGGAAATAAATGAGTAGGGTACGAGACGGAAAAAATATTTTTTATTTTTAATTTTTGATATTATATTCACTTTTACATTTAGATTTAATAGAAAATTTAAATTTAAATTTATTTTTATAATTATTTAATAGATATAAATAATTTTCGTATATATGACTATAAAAAAATAAAAAAATTTTTTTTTTATTTTTTTATTTTTATTTATATATTTATGTAATTTTTTATAAATATATTTTTTAAATGCAAATATTATTAGTTCTAATAAATTTAAAATAAAATTTATATTATTAAATAAAAATTAATTTATTAAATATATATAAAATATAAGTACGAAACAGAAGATATATTTCTCATCCTCGTATTTGTTCCTAATAAAAAAAGTTAAAATCATATATATTCTAGTCTCTATCTCCAAAATTTATTATTTATCTCCATTAAAATAAAAAATCATATTCTCAACGAGTTTGTTTAAAATTGATATCTTTATTAAACAATTATTGAGTCTACTCTATGATTTTGTGATTTTGATTTTTTTAGATCATAAATTTTTATTTAAAAAAAAGTTTAATATTTTACTAATAGTTCACATAAATGTCGATTATAATTTTGATTTCAACAATTAACTTCACATTTGGATGGAAGATTTTATCATAAAAAGATGGTTAAAATAAAAAAAAAAAAAGTAATTCTTGAATTTTATAATTTTATTTAGATAAATTTTTATATTTTTATTAAATCCAAAGCAAAACTTAACTTTTACTTTGAGTCAAAATAAATTCTTAAATTTTAATTTGTATTTAAATAAACCTTTAACTTTTCATTTGTACATAAATAAACTTTTAATATAAATCAATTTTATTTTAAAATAAAAATTTATTGGGATAAAAATAAAAAAAAGACTTATTTGAATATAATAAAAGACTAAAGATTTATTTGAATATAATAAAAGAATAAAAGCCTTTTTAGATATAATAAAAATATAAAAACTTATTTAATAAAAGTGAAATAATTCATATTTTTTTTAATATTTTAACCTTAAAAGATTTTGCTTACTAATATCTTAAAAGCATTTTTTAAAATTATGTAGTAATATTTTTATTTTATAAAATTAAAAATTATATATAAAACTATCAATTATTGTATTTAATATAAATTATTATTATAAATAATATATTAACTAAATTTAAAAAACACCTTAAAAATACTCATTAGCAAAGTTTTTTAATTAAAATATAAAATATGGTATTGATTTTAAATAAATAACATGTTTTCCAATAACCATATTAAATGAATATATATTTTTAAAGAGGAAATACATAATCAAAATTTTATGAGAATTAAATAAAAAATCTATGCATTATATTAAAATTATTTTTTTATTGTTTTTCATGGAGGACCAATTAAGGCTTCAAATGGCTGTGATTTGACAGCCAATTAAGCTTTTTTTTTTTTTCACATTTTGCATATGTCCTTTTATATTTTTATAAAATAAAATTGAAAAAATCAAAAAAATTTAACAAAAAAAGCGAAAAAATCAAATATTGGTTTACTATTTATTTTTTAAATTTTCAACTAATTAAAAGAATAAATTAAATTTATTATTTTTAATAAATAAAATAATTAATTGAAAATTGTTATTAATTAATTAATTGAATAACTTAAATAAAATAATTTTGTTGTCTAATTTAAAAAAAAATATTTGATTTTATGATTTTTTTAAAATAAATATTTATTATTACTTTTTATAAATACCATTATTTATCATATTATTGAATTTAAAATATTTTTCATAAATAATTTTTTTTTAAATGCCCCAATAAAAACATCATTCTTATAAAAAAATTAAAGCAATGAAGAAGGGTGACCGTTGTAAATTATATAAAGAATTGGATAATTAAAGTAAATAATGTGTTTGATGTACAAAATTATAATATAATAAGATAAGATAGTATTATAAATTAGATTAAATTAAATAATATTATTTTATTTTATATTAGATGTGTAAGAATTAAGATAAGATAATTTTATTTATTAGTAAAAATTATCTTTTTAAAAATTTTTATAATTTAAATTATTGATATAATTTTTAAATGTATAATAAAATAAATAAGTTCAACTTCATGAATTAAAAATAATTTTCTTCACTTTGAAAAAATTGAGTCATTTTATGTCAAAATGATGATCAATCTTTCTTACAATTTTATTTCATTTTAAATACAAATCATTTTGTATTTAATTAATTATTATTATGTTAATTTACGTAATTATTGTGTTATCATAATAGTGAGGGCAAAATTGATAAAAAAGATGACAACAATCAAGAACTTCAACGATATTATTTCCAAATAGCTCAAACCTCATATAATTAGAACAATTAATTCAAAAAGATAAATTTAAATTGAGAATACTTTTATATTTCTCCTTTAAATATTATTTTGAATAAAAATAATAAATATAATATAAATGTTTAAATTTTTATAGGAATTATTAGTTTATTAATAATTAAAAAAAATGAAAAATGAATCTCTTTTCAAACTCTTTATTATAATTTGCTTATGTTTGACTATTTTATTTTAATTTCTAATAATTATTGTTTGTATTTATATTTAATTACCTTTTTAGTTTTTACCTCTTAATAAATTTCTAAGATTTAAAAAATTAATTAGCAATATATATATAAAGGAGAGATCCACTTATATTAGTATAAATGTTACAGATTTTTTTTATCATTAGATCAAAATGACTAAATATTATGTATTTGATTTTGATCCAAAGATAAAAAAAGTAGGTAACACTTACATTAATATAAGTGAATTTTTACTCATATATATAAATGGCAATTTAACCATTTCAAGCTGGATTGTCTTCAGATTTGAGTCATTTCATGTTTGGATCACCTCATCTGCAAACTATTTTAAATTCATGCTATTTCAAAATTGAATCATTTTGAGTTTAAATAGCCTCAAGTTCGTCTTATTTTAAATTCCAATAATTATAATTCCATATGGAATTCAAACAAAATTTTGGGTTATTTTGTGATTTATATAAGATATAGACATTTTTCTTAATTCAAACATAATAAATAGTTTTACTTTTTTCATAAGTGATTTCAAATTAATATCATTGATTAATTTAATAAATTGAAGATAAAAATATGATTAAAAATAAGAGATTTGTTTGGGATTAGCTAGATATTGCTTGATGGATAAGAAGACTTGCAGAAGAAGAATTCTAAAAGGAAAGAAATTCTTAATAAGCAAGTTTAACTTATAGAAGAATAATTCTAAGATGAAAGAAATTCTTAATAGAAAAGTTTGTATGATTATAAATAAGTGAAGTCTCTGCAGGATTAGTATTAGCTTTATATGTTAGATGGTGATCAAAGAGAGGGGTGAATTAAATCTCTTCAAATTCTTCTTAAAAAAATAATTTCAATATAGTTGAATGAAAATTAAAACAATAAGCACTTTTGATGAAAAATAATGCAAATAATAACAATTAATGAATCTAAAATCAAATATAAACAAAAATAAATTGTAAGGAGATAGGGATAGAGAAATCAAACACAATGATTTATAGAGGTTCGGTCTTTTTTCACAAGGTACCTATGTCCTTTCTTCTTGGTTGTCCACACCAAGGCTTCAATCCACTATTCTTGAATCGAAAATACACCCTATCTTTTTCTTTCTAAGGCTTAAGATAGAAACCTTTATCCTTTGTAGTATTTTATCCAATCTCACTACAAAGCTCTCAAGAGGATACCTAACCTCTTATTCTCTTTCACCATTGTATATTAAAGATAATTTTGCAAATAATAGAACAACCTCTCTAAGGTTAAGTGTTTGCTAAGTTTAAGTACAAAAAAATGATGAATGAACAACAAATAAAAATTAGATACAATAAATACAAAGATATGGATTTTAAAGCTATAAAAACTCTTGATTCTTTGAGAGAATGAAAATGTGGCTTATTGGCTCTTGCTCTCTTGATTCATCAATCTTCTTGGTGTGTTGGAGTGCCTAATTTATAGAGAAATTGAAGAGGTAGCCATTGAAAGTGTTTAGGAGAAGAAAATAGCTGTTGGAAGCACCAAAAAGTAGCTGTTCGAGTGTTTTCACCCATAACCAATCGATCCCTTCCATAAGGGGATCGATTGGTTCATGTTTTGAAACTATTTACCTTTGAAAATGATGACTCGATCAATCCCTTCCATAAGGGGATCGATCATGTCAATGGCTGGGTGGTAGTTTCACGTTTTGCACTCTACTTACTAATTTGATCATAACTTGAGTTATACAAATCCAAATCACAAACCGTTTGAAGATTTAGAAACTAGACTTAAAGGGCTTTCTATCATATAAATTTCATCATCTAATTCACTGTGTACCAATTTTAGTGAATTTTCACATTTACACCTTGTGCAGTTTTTTTAACAACTGCAGAGTGTCTAGTAAAAATTCATAATCTTTTCTTAGAAAATTTGGATTTTGATTTTATTTAATCCATTAGAAAGTAGACTTAAAAAGCTTTCCAACCATATAGAATTCAAATATTAAGAATTTGTGAATTAATACATAAAATAAAATAAGTTTGATGTTAAAAAACTTTATTCTTGTAAAATAGCTTTCTTAAGTTAATCTATTTCTCAAAACCAATATTATCAAAATTGTATTAAGTCCAAAATGAATAAGTTCACTTTAAAAAAAACAATTGGACTTTCATTTAAGCTCAAATAAATAATCTTTAAAGATAGATTTGGTTTGAGAAATATGAAAACAAAGAAAGGTTTGTTTAAGCTTTGAAAATCATATTATTTATTTAGTACGAAAATATAAAACTTAAAAACATGTACTAAATAAATCCTTT